AAAGTCACTGTGACTGCATTTCACAAGGACCCAGTGAAAGTCACTGTGACTGCATTTCACAAGGACCCAGTGAAAGTCACTGTGACTGCATTTCACAAGAACCCAGTGAAACTCACTGTGACTGCATTTCATATAATGTCCGAGTGAAAGTCACTGTCTCATTAACCTAGTGTTTTGCTATGATTAGAATGAACGCTACACCATTGGGAAATGTGCTAATTCAAATTTGTCTCTTGTAAAGTTACAGTAGGCCTTAGAATTAACAGGAAAATGGTTGATATGCTGTCTTGCTGCTAGCTGAGTTGTAGATGGTGTCCAATTTTTTGCTTCGCTGTCAACTTTGTTGAGCGAAGCTTTTATTATGAGTGATAGTCTGTTGCCGACTGTTGACATCTGCACTAACTTTTTACTTTTTTGACTTTATATTATAATACATATAGGTACCTCAGGTGGACCTCTCTCAGATTTGTCTATTTCATGATGATATCTTCAATTCATTTTTTTTATTTTTGGTAAAACGTGATAAACAAGTTATGTTTTGTAAATAAACTTCAAAATGCCATGTTTCAAATAATAAGTTTGTTTCTGTTGAGGTCGTGTGATCTCTGGTTACGATAAAGTTATTTGGATAACCACCGACTCCTGGTATTGATTTTGACGTGGGGTCAGGAAAAATACATGCATGTTTTGTCAACTGACTCAAAATAGAAATGCCAAAGTTATTTATATTGTGCAGTGTGTATATGCCTGTATATTTTCTTGTCTTAATTTTCATTGATTGTGGACCAAAAGAAGGAAACAGTTTCGCAAAGCATATATCTGTTTGTCATTTTCAGTAACTGTGCGTGTGCGATTGAGTGGAAATTAACCAAGACCTCTTGTAAATATTAATTAATGTCAATACAGATATAGAATTAACAATGCTGATTTTTTAGACAGAAAATATGGAAATGTTATCATTTCACAAAGTCAATCTGGTAGAAAAGTGGGTTTCAAAATGTAAATGTGAGTGTGTATTGGTGGCTGGATTCGATGACATGTAACTGAGAACATAAGACTGTCTGGGAATAACGACAAAAATATTTTACCGATAATTTTGCTGGTAATAACCGTGGGCATAAAACAAATCAGAGAAAAAATAAGTACAAGACAGTTAATTTAAATAAGTGAATACTATATTGAGCATAGGAAAACATGGAATCAATAGATACATCGTTGACAGATTGAATATAAATTAGACATTCGTGTAAGACGTTCATTGCGAAACAAAATGGCACTAGCCTGGTTTACCTTATTTTCACTACATTTTCTTGCCGTGCAAGTTTCAAAAAAATTAATTCACCATAACATTTCGAACCTTCTGCATGTCAGCCATTCTTCGCTATTGAACTGAGGTCAGCACATGAAAAATAATCAATTAGCGCAATGTGCTACCGTCAACTGTGTGACATCCATTTGATTCAAAGGCACTGGATTGAAACATGTAAAAAGAAATATCACTCCTCGACTTTCTCCTAGAAGTTTCTGTTGTAGTTGCGTTGTACAATGTAGTTTAATTTTAGAAAATTATTTTAGTTATTGACTAAAATTGAATAGTCTCGCGCAGTTGTTGCAACACAAGTCTATAAAAGTTTCCACACAATAATTTAGTATTAAACCGTCGCCTCTCCATATCAAAGACAATTTTTCATAAAAATAACATTGGAAGTACCGTAATAGTCTTTGTATGTATTAACGCAAACAACAAATTTATTATGTTTTTTTGATTTCTTCAAATTTTAAATGAAGATCCCGGCACTGCACTCTGGGCAGAGATCAATTGTTTTGTACCATCGCACGTATGATCAAAATGCAAGCTGACATGGATATTTTTCTGAATAACCACCTGTAATGTTACACACATACACAATGTTTTTTTATTAATTATTTCTTGTTTCACTTGGTCTTTATTCTTGTTTCTACTGTAAAATAAAATAAAAAGGAAAAACATTAGCACATCGTGACTTCTGTATCAATACCAGACATCGTACCGACACACAAGGAAAATCCGATAATCATACTACAATTTGTTAATAGATTTAAATTCATTCGGGGAACAAAATTTTCAAACAAATTTACGGCAGATTATGTGAAATAACATCAACAGCAGGATTAGTGATAACTTCTGAATGGGGGAGGGGCATTCAAGTGCTAAATATTCATCAAAATCAAGCATTTCTGTGATTGTGGGATGGATCTAAGTCATGCATAGACGTATTTCATTCATTGTCCATTGAACAAAATGGGTCCTTAATTCACTTTGCTAGAATGATCATGTTCAAACTTTGCACATACAACATGTACATATACAAATGCATCTATTTCTGAATCTGATTTAAGATGGCTGATTATTTCCATTCTAGAAATGCATTAATTTGTGCAGAATAAAAAGAAGGAATCGCACAAATAAACTGGCTCAATTTCGTATCATTTCTAAAAACTGGATGGGGATGGGGGACTTGCCATTCAAAATGACTTGTTCATATGTTTAACGACAACACGCTAATTTATCCTTTTCTGTTCTGCAGATGGAGGTAGACAACCCAAATTATGACAAAATGAACGGTGAAAAAGAAGAATGGTCACTCAATGATCCACTAAAGACTAATGACCCTGAAATGTATGAGCTACTAATAAAGGAACGAAATCGTCAAAAACGTGGTCTGGAATTGATTGCTTCAGAAAACTTTGCCAGTAAAGCTGTTTTACAAGCGCTAGGTTCATGTCTAAACAACAAGTATTCCGAAGGCTATCCAGGTCTCAGGTAAATAGAGAGAATTCTAAAATAGAGAGAATTCTAAAATAGAGAGAATTCTAAAATAGAGAGAATTCTAAAATAGAGAGAATTCTAAAATAGAGAGAATTCTAAAATAGAGAGAATTCTAAAATAGAGAGAATTCTAAAATAGAGAGAATTCTAAAATAGAGAGAATTCTAAAATAGAGAGAATTCTAAAATAGAGAGAATTCTAATTGCAATGTATAAATATGAAAATTTCCCATTTTAAAGCCACATTTGTTTGTTCATGTGTAAATAAACATTATATATGTAGATACCCCCATGAAACAGTTGACGGGTGATGTTCTATTGTCCTGTGACCTTTGATAGGATCACCTTTTCCCACAGATGTGATGATATCATTTGACACCATATGCTGTTTATCCTAGAAAATCGCACTGAATTGTAAGAATCAAGGGTTCATACGCAAGAGTAGTCAACTGCCAATATATATCCCAATGGGTGTGCTGTATTTTAAATATTTTAAACAATAAACTTGTATAATTTTTCACATATTTATTTTCGAACTTGAGCAAAGCCTTATTAAATAGCCACCAGGGATCTGGACGGTGGTGGCCTGCCCCGATCGGCACTCCCATTGGGCTGGCGAGATCCCCGAGTTTCATTTATCAAATTTGTTATCTCGTATGGATGTTCAAGGATTTTTGTGATCTCTAAAATATTGGATAGCCACAGTATATACCTTGTCTCATTTCTTCATCCCAAACCTTGTTGTATGCCTTCCTATCAACAGTGTGTGAGATATTACATTTATGCATATCAATGAGGTCACAAAAAAATTTCAATTACTGATAGTGTATTGTATGTAAACAAGTGTAAGAGCTCTCATTCCTTATTCAGAAGTTCTACCTCCTTATATATACAATGTACCTTGTCTTACTACTTCATCCCAAACCTTGTTGTATGTCTTCCCATCTTAAACAGTGTGTGAGATATTACATTTAGGGGAGAGTAGGAAATCAAACTGGCGGTGCAAATTTATGCATAGATTCCATGATGCCGGCTGACCGCGGTCGTCTGTGGTAGGCTCGCACAGCAATTCACACTTATTGTCAAGACCAATAATGAACACAAAGAACTGGGAAATTAAAAAGATCACAAAGTTCCAATGAAAAATTAAACCAATTTGGCTGAGCCAAAAGCTTGGAAACTAGCCTATAATAGTTGACATTATTTTATTTGCCCTGAGCCTTGGAATAAAATCACAAAACGATCCAGAAAGATGTAGAGATCAACATAATATAAAATATGATCGCATTATTTTGTGAATATATATCGTGCATGGTCTCAGAAAATGTTTAGAAAGATTAATGTTTCACGTAGACCAAATATAATCACGCATAAGTATAAATTAAGTGTTTTAATACATTGGTAAGAGGTCACATTTTACGTGAACATAAACATACACTAAGAAGGAAAAGCAAGCCAAAGTCGAAACTGGTGTATCATGGACTTGGTACAACATGCGCTGCGACAATTGAGTGATCGTCGACATCATTTTGAGGCAAAGTTGAACTTCAAGTACTTTGTGAAACTTGCTATGCGGCGATGCTGACATCAAGTGTGGGTGTTGACCGAAGTTTGACCCCAAGTCACGCACTGAACTGGCGCGTTACCTTAGCAACCCTTTTTTCTTGCTCCGCGCGTCGATCTAGTAAAATTGTTATTATATTCAGCGGTACTGTAATAACACAACTTGTATCCAACTCTGTATTGGCTTTGAATATTTCAACATCATTTAATTAGTGTGCTGCTTTTCTAATATGTTTACAGTATTACACATCCCTAAATATTTCAACTTTGCAATGTATTGCTTTTATAATAATTACACAAACTAAGTTATTTTTATTATTGTTGGGACACTAACCCGGCCTATTGAGTCTGTGAATATTTCAATATTACCGACTTGATAATGCGCTGCATTCGTAATTATTATGCAAATATAAACATAATAAACTCACAGCGCACTTTGATCAAATTATTCACGTACTTTTTGACTGAACTCTAATAATCACGTGTTTGAATTACGTGCGGCAATGGGCAATGAGTTCACGCACTGACATTTAAATTCGGGCCACCCAGTTTGACGCAAAACGATATAGTTACTTAACATTCGTTCAAAAATCTGTAAACTCACAAATACCATGAACGCGAAAAGTTAACTGAAAGGCAACGTCGTTTTTGACAAAAAAAAACACT